TATTTGACAAAGAAACAAACGAAAGGCGTATGAATTGAGCAATCAGTCACCGGCTCCCAATGGCGCGATACCCTGAATTCGCTCCGCTGCCTTGCGGGCAGACTATTCAACCAAAGGCTAGGGGTGGTGTCCCCTAAGTCAATACCCTACTTCGGCTTGGGCAACTGGGTAGTATCTCGCCCTCTGACGAAACCATGGACTTTAATGTGTTGTGTTGTTTTCTTTTGCAATTTCTGTACCTTGTTTTGAGTTTCATGGTTTCCGATGGCTCAATGTCTATTCATAGACCGTTGCAATATATATATATATATATATATATATATATATATATATATATATATATATCAAGGTAAGTTGAATGAAGCAGGTGCAGGCTACACATTCTACTGGGTAGGCAACGCCGTCTCAGCACCACGTGATCATGGGGTCGGATTTGCAATACTCGATCGGCTCCATGGACAGCAGGTGGGTGAACCAACAGGCAACAGCGCGCGACTGATGACTGTTCGCCTACGACTCGGAAGAGGAAAGTTTGTCACTTTTATAAGCACGCGCCGTCTGACCATGTGTTATCCTGATGACACGCGTGATCAATTCTACACTCAGCTATGCCCCGTGCCGAGGAGCGACCGACTATTTCTGCTGGGTGATTTCAACGCGCGCGTTGGACGTGATGCATCGGTGTGGGCAGATGTTATCGGTCCGCATGGCATTGGTTCAGCGAATGCGAACGGTGATAGGCTGCTCTCACTGTGTGCCACTCACGGCCTGACGATCACGAACACTCAGCTTGCACTGAGTGCGAGTGCTATACCAACTTGAACGCACCCACGGAGTGGTCACGCTTACCTGCTCGACTATGTCATCCTACGTCAACGTGATATGCGTGAAATGCGCACGACACGTGTACTACGTGGAGCTGAGTGTGCCACTGATCACAAATTGGTGCGGACCAAACTGTACATATATTTTCGTAAATCTATGTATTGCACTTCCGCCGTGAATCAGCGTAAAGTTAACATTCTCTCTCTCAGTACTGTGGCGAAACGTACTGAACTGGAGAAGGCGCTGACCGCACGCCTGTGTGATGTCGGATGCATAGCCATAGTGGGCGACCTGTGGCACCACATTCGCGACCGGGTGACAGCTGCTGCCGAGGAGACCATCGAGCGCGCAAACTGTAAGCGGCCTGATTGGTTTGATGACAACAATGCGACGATCGGCGCATCGGTGTCGGGGAAGAATGCAACATTTGCTGCACATGTCGCAGACCCCAGTGACTTGGGGAAGAAGAGTCAGTTTCGCAAACTTCGACGGCGACTGACCCGAGAGCTCCGTCGCATTAAAAATGCATGGTGGACGGAGAAGGCGAAGCAGATGGAATGCTGCGCTGTACGCCGCCAATACAAGGAATTCTTTGACTCCCTGAAGGCGGTGCATAGACCGAGATTGGAGCCGCTGAGGACGCTGATCCATGGTAGTTCAAGTGCTACCTGCACACAGACTGCAGACAGTGCAGATCTGGCGAAAACACTTTGACTGTCTCTTGAACAACCGTTCAGAGATCGACTGGCCTACTTTGAATTGCCTGAAGCCACACGATGTGAAGACGAGTCTGGCGGACACGCCGACACTGGATGAGACGCAGACAGCACTTGCTCAGCTGCGAAACGGCAAATGTACCGGAGCCGACGGGATGCCGCCTGAAGTATTGAAACACGGCGTACCCGCGTTGTTGACTGCGCTGCACCACTTGGTGCAACGTGTATGGATTGAGGAGGAGGTGCCTCCTGAGCTGAAGGATGCCCTTGTGCTACCACTGTACAAGGGTAAAGGGAGCAAGCAATGTTGCATGAATTATCGTGGCATCAACTTGCTGAGTTGTGTGGGCAAGGTGATTGCCCGAATCCTGATCAATCGCCTCGTGAGTCAGATTGTGGAACCAAACGTGGCGGAAGAGCAATGTGGATTCCGTTCGGGTCGCAGCACTATAGATATGGTGTTTGCGGCTCGTCAGTTGCAGGAGAAATGCAGAGAACGACACCAGTCATTGTACTCGCTTTTTGTTGATTTCACCAAGGCATTTGATACGGTGAACCGAGACGCATTGGTTGGCTTGGTTGCTCCCGTAAGTTTGTAAGTTTAATTGAATGTCTGCATAGTGATATGCGAGCGAGGGTGCAGCTGAGTGCAGAGACCTCGGATGACTTTGTAGTTGTCTCTGGTGTGAAGCAAGGCTATGTCGTAGCTCCTGTCCTGTTTAATATATATCTTCCTGCAATGCTGTCCTGTGGTTTTGATGCCGCTTGTGCTTACGGTGTTCGTGTGGAGAACGAAGGCAGTTGCCGAGGTGCAGGAGAAAGCCCTCGTGCATATATATATATATATATATATATATATATATATATATATATATATATATATATATATATATATATATATATATATATATATATATATATATATATATATATATATATATATATATATATATACGTATGGATTCAATGCGGATACCGAAGCAACTCTTATATGGTCAGCTGAGTACAGGGAAGCGGCACGTGGGGAAACCAAAGTTACGTTACCAAGACATGATTAAAGTGAGCCTCTCACGTTCTAATCTTGATTGCAGATCATGGGAATCGAAGGCGGTTGATCGGCGTGCATGGCGCGATCAGATCACGAAAGCAGTTGCCGAGGTGCAGGAGAAAGCCCTCATGCATGCAGAGAAGAAGCGGCAAGTGCGGAAGCGGCAAGCACCGATGGGTTGTTCTCCATCGACATCAAGCGCATGGTGCTGTAGCACATGCGGTCGCCAGGCAGGCTTAGTGAGCCACGAGCGAGGCCACTCGGGACCACTACCGAAGCGACGACGGGTCCTGCAGAGAACGTAGGCAGAACCAGCGCAGCGTTTGTAGGTACGCTGCATTCAATTTACTAACCGCGTGCTTGCATGTTAAGTCACTTTATTTCAGGTGGTGGGTTTTCAAGTTTGTCCTAATGCTTTTCTTTCTCAAATAAATGTCCACCTGTATGCTCTTCTATAAACTTGCACAGGGCACTTAAGCCAATTGTAGTTAATTTCGATAACATTTTCGCGTGTGTCATTTCCGTAAAATATACTTTCTGACCTCCTAAACTTATCTCGGATCCTTTGTTAACAACTTATTCCATATGCTCATTAATTTAAGATTTTTGTCACGGTTCCTTATGTATTACTCGATTTCTTTTCTTTGTTAGCTTTCTCTCAAGTGATTGTCTGTTGCTTGATATCCCCGGTGTGGCTGCACTTGATGTGCATGTTGACAAGGTCCCTACCTGTCTATTACCCATTACCTCGTCCATACTGGCTCCAGAAGACAGTTGGTCGTTGCTAGAGGGGACGGGGTGCACGGTTTTTGTGGCCGTGTTAGGATCAAAAGTGGTTCCATGCACTCAGTGTGGAGCGGACTACGGTCCAGCCACCGCCTTGTGTGCGCTTGATTCCCAAATACAGCGTGCTCGTGTTTGCCTGTGAAGGAGTGTGGGCCGGCTCCGCTGATGAAACGTGGCTCCCATCCACATGCCTCCCGGTCTTATTACTTCGGTTTTACACTGGATATGGGGTGTGGTTGGAGCTGTGAGTGGTGCAGCTCAAGCCACCCATGGTCCCTCTGTAGGCGCAAGCGTCCTGTGGCTGGCCACAGTGACAGGCAAATCCGAAACCGGATGCTGCCAAGTATATATATATATATATATATATATATATATATATATATATATATATATATATATATATATATATATATATATATATATATATATATATATATTGGGTTTATTAGCACACAATATATATATATATATATATATATATATATATATATATATATATAATGTTTGCTCACATCAAAGGAAATGGAAGTCAGAGAAAGCTGCAATAAACCCAATGTGTTTCAATTTACTATCCCGTCAAACTAACCAAAAAATTCTTTTTTTATCAGGTTAGAAGCGGTTCTGTTTATTGCTCTGTCGTTTAAATGCGCTTTCATAAATTGTAAACAGTGTAAACTGGAGTTATGATAATTCCATACGCCGAATCACAGTCGAATAAGTGGTAGGAAATCAAAAAGCGACCCAACTCAAGACAACGATACAACAACAAAAAAGACGGGGTCCGCACACTTTTTAGGAAGATTTGTCGCCGTTAGCCAGTACACATGTAGAAACGCGCTAGATGGTCGTTTCGTCTTACTGGGACTCGTCAGTAGCGCGCACTCGCCAAATCCTGACAGATACGTACCCACGACCTTATTCTTACGAGCCGGCAACTTATGCCACTGAGCCATGGGCGATGGCATTGAACTGCCATGACTGTTATCCAACTGCGATACAATGTGACTCGTTCTATACTATGATATATGTTGAGGTGCAGAGGACAGGGCTGCTACCCAGAGCAACTACTTCCTCTGCTTCGCATTCGTTTGCATCCCACCGCCCAACCAGCAATAATGGCACTATGAGGCCGTACAACCGTGAGGAAAAGTAACAATGGAAAAAAGATAAAGGGGATCTGATGCCTAAGTTAATAGCCTCAGCAATTATTCAGAGTAAAAGCGAGAACCCCTTGCTAAAAGCGCTTAGCCACAAATATGCGGGGAGTATGTGGGCGAAAAGTAGTAGCAACGAGATAGCGTCTGTTTGGCCTTCGCTGCCATTCATACCGAGACTCCAGTCAACTACAGGGTGGGTCGCGTAGACTTTAGTCAGGAAGTCGAAATGTGTCAATAGCACCCAGTTAAAGCGTCAACCAATTCAGTGGCAAACTGCAGGTTAACGACCACTTCCATTCTAGTTTCGCACAAAGCAAGTACACAAGACATATAGTAGATGTCGAAACCATCTACATGATGTTAATGGATTGCAACAATACAAACGAGTTCCGCGTCAGGGAAATGGTATCCAAGTGGTTGAAATATTTCAAGTAAAGTGATTATAGAATTTCACGCTATAGTACTTACTGAAACATAATCGGCGATTGCCTTGCTCACATTCATCTTATCATCTTTAATAGTAATCGGGCGACCTTCTTTGATTCGTTCTAAAGCGGCTGGGCAGTCCATCTGTGAGAAAACATCACATCTTAGACAAACTATAGAGACACCTGCCTTGTATTTGCGCATGAATGATTCGACGTTGGGAAATTCCTGGCCCTGAATTTGCTTGAAAGCAGCCTTGTATTGAACCAACAATCGCGAGCAGGCAGCGGTGTATCTTGATGGAAAAAAGAAAGACAGCATTAACCTTACTCCCCTGATTTGACATGGTCCTTGATGTAAGCTTTTTGTAGACACTGCAAAGTATTTATCACAGCGTACAACTCGGCCAGATTATCGTATCTGGAAGGACGAGAAGCTGAAACGACTTCTCAGGGCTTACTTTTCACGATCGCGAGCGTCACGCGTGAGTCGTACCTCCTAATAAATAAAAATGCATTATAAGGGAAGCGAAATTACCTCATAAAGAGCCATCCAGTACTCCACAAACAATAGCTTGCAGCTAAAGTTGGTCGAAACGAGAAACAAAAGAAAAGTAACCCATAGTCTCGTAGCATAGGAAAGCGAATGCGTCAAAGAAAGAAAGCTAAAAAACTGGGATCAACTAGGATGTTAAGATCTCGGAACAACAAGTACGAGCGTAGGAACGGAAAGAAGCCATCAGGAACAGAATGTATCACAAATACAAGCTCAAGAGACGGAAGCTTTATGAGAAGTTATGGGCTACTTGGATAGGACCCAAATCACGCCGACTGTGTGACTCGAGGCCACAAGAACAGTGACAGGCAAATCCGAAACCGGATGCCGCGAACTATATATATATATATATATATATATATATATATATATATATATATATATATGTATATATATATATTTATATATATAGCTCGCGGCATCCGGTTTCGAATTTGCCTGTCACTGTGGCCAGCCACAGGACGCCTGCGCCTACAGAGGGGACCATGGGTGGCTTGCGCTGCGCCATCCACAGCTCCAACCGCACACCTCATATCCATTGTAAACCCGAAGGAATAAGACCAGGATGCATGTAGATTGCAGCCACGTTTCATCAACAGAGCCGGTCCATACTCCTTCACAAGCACGATGTATGTGGGGAATCAAGCGCATACAAGGCAATGGGTGGATCGTAGTCCACTTCACACTGAGTACATGGAACCGCTCTTCGAGCTCAGCATGGCCAGAAGGACCGTACATTCCGTCTCCTCCGGCAACGACCAACTGTCTGTTAGAGCCAGTATGGACGAGGTGGTGGGTAATAGACAGGTAGGCACCTTGTCAACATGCACATCAAGCGCAGCCACGCCGGAGATGTCAAGTAGCAGCCAATCACTTTAAATGACAATAAAAAATTATATTTATCAAATAAAGCATACGGATATGCTGACATAACTCTTTGCTAAATGGGCATATGAAATCAATTGGTTATAAACAAATCAGCGATAAGTTCAAGATGTCAGGAAAAGATTTTTAAAATGCCACAAACGCGAAAAAGTTAATGAAGTTAACCACAATTAGCTTGAGCGTAGTGTACAAATTAAAAGATTATTCCGGTAGGCGTTAAAATGTGTTAAATATGGCATTAAGACAAGGTAGCAAACCAGCTACATGAAATAAAGACTCGGCATGCAAGTACACGGTTACTAAACTGAATGTAGCGTATCTACCAACGCTGCACCGGTTCTGCTTACGTTCTCAGCAGGACTCGTCATCGTTTCTGTGGTGGTCCCGAGTGGCCTCGCTTGTGGATCACTAGGCCTTCCTGACTCAGGCAAACGCGACTGCATGTGCTACAGCACCCCGCGCTCAACGACGATACAGTACACTCCATCGACGCCCGCCGCTTTTTCTCTGTATGTACGAGGGCTTTCTCCTGCACCTCGGCAAGTGGCTTCGTGATCACATCGCGCCATGAACGCTGATCGATCACTTTCGATACCCAAAAACTGAAATCAACATTAGTTCGTGATAAACTTACCTTGATCATGTCCTGTTAAGGTAAGTTCGGTGTTCCCACGTGCCGTTTCCTGCAAGCAGTTGGCCACAAAACAGCTGTTTCGGTATCCGGATCGAATCCATGAGGCGAATATGCCTGAGCCACCTCAGGTGCCTCAGCAGGATGCAGTCCACTGCATACATGTCATTGCGTCGGAGCATCTCCATGTCTGTAACTCGGTCACTCCAGACGATACGCATAATGCGACGCAGACACTGTTGATGGAAGCGCTCCAGACAACGGACATCCTAACGATAAAGCGTCCACATTTTGCTGTCGTATAGGAGAACGGACAGCACCGTAGACTTGTAGACTAGCACTTTGGTCCCAACAGTGAACTGGTGGTTTTTCTACACATGACACTCCAGATTGCCAAATGCAGCAACCACCTACGATACGCAGCAGCGCAGCTCGCTCGTCATCTCCAGGTCGTTTGTTATTACGCTCCCAAAGTAGCAAAATCACGGATTGATTTTTAACACTTCGTCAGCGACCTGGATTTGGGGCAGGCCCACGGACTCTATGCCGGGTAAAGGCGGGAAAAGACAAACAGTCTTGCTAGTGTTTATGAGGCCTAATTTGACCACAGTCGAAGCAAGAGCACTAGCCATGTGCTTCAACTCATCCGCGCTGTGAGCAAACAACGCATTCGTCAGCAAACAGCAATGTTTTTTTCAACAGTCTATGAATAGACATTGAGCCATCGGAAACCATGAAACTCAAAACAAGGTACAGAAATTGCAAAAGAAAACAACACAACACAGTAAAGTCCATGGTTTCGTCAGAGGGCGAGATACTACCCAGTTGCCCAAGCCGAAGTAGGGTATTGACTTAGGGGACACCACCCCTAGCCTTTGGTTGAATAGTCTGCCCGCAAGGCAGCGGAGCGAATTCAGGGAATCGCGCCATTGGGAGCCGGTGACTGATTACTCAATTCATACACCTTTCGTTTGTTTGTCAAACAGGGACCCAATGCTCCCCAGAATTACAGGATAAACTTGCTGTAATACAATGCTTCGCCAGGATGAAGCAAGGGGCAGTGACTTTATTTAGTGGCGAGTCATGTCCGCCACGTCACTGTTGTCAAACGGACACGTGGCTTTTTATAGTGAGAACGCTTGCCAGGCGAAAACCCACCAGGTCCAGGAACACTGCCGCCGAACGATTTGCTGGAACGGAAAAGTCCCGAACCACCCAGCTGGCACCACGAGGAGGTTGTTCGGCAGGCCAGCAACGTACGGATAGTTGTCTCATACACTCGGATACAAGTCCCGAAACGACGGATATTCAGCAAGCCATCCTCAAGACGGTGTTCCACACGGACGTCGTAATCACACGCAGTATCAAAAGTACAAGCCACAACTGCATGAAGGTAAATATTAAACAGGGCAGTTAAGACGCAACCTTGATTCAGACCAGAGACAACTGCTAAGTCCTCCGAAGGTTCTCCACTCAGCTGCACCCTCGCCCACATACCACTGTGCAGACCTTCAACTAAACTTACTCGGACATATATATCCAAGACATCACACGCGTCATTGCCCGGCGCAATCGTCTGCCTTCTATCGCAACGAGACTAGACCATAACGTGGTGCGATGGCTTGTCTACCTTAGTGACCCAATGAGCTATGCTGGGTGGCAGTTTCCAAGGGTTTCCAGACCTACTCACGCCAGAGAGGCCAATGGTTACGGGTCAGACTAATTCAGTCTCACAATCCAGTCCTATTCGGAGGTAGAGAGAGGTTGATGGCTCTCCTCTTTTAAAACCTAGTCAGGGGAGACAACAGGTCTACGAATTATAAGCTCACTGCTCGATTGGCGTAGAGCACGAGCGCCACACTTGTCTTTGACGGTAGAAAGGGCATTTTCGGGTGCGCAACGGTTTGCTATCGCCCGTCTCAAGCTAGACAGCTCCTGGTCCAAACCCACCAAGTTTCACTTGTGGCTAGCCATGGCCGCAAGTGTGTAACGTACAACTATCGTAAAATATATGTGCATTGCTCTAAATCTTAAAAGGTAATGTGTGATAGGCTTCAAGCAGATCCAAATGGGTCTCTGCAGTCACACTCCCGAGTTGGACTTGCTCCCCACTGTCTTGTGGGTCAGGCTGTTGAGCCAAAGGCTCCGGGTGGAGTCACTCAAGCGAACCACCAGGTACCCACTGCTTGTGGGTCTGACTGTTTAGTCAAAGGCTATAAGCAGGGTCGCTCGAACAAAACAACGCTCTCAGAATCGGCAGCCGAAGAGTATCATCTGCTCTCGCGACCACGTCGACAATACTTTCGCTAAGTCTTGTTTTTCTCTCCTCTCTTCTCTTTTCTTCGTTTAGTGAGCAAGAGACGGCCACTGACCTCGCAGCTGCTACCGTCGATACATGTAGCTCTTCTGTCAAACCTAGAGTTTCATTTCACATTGGTTCCTTTAACGTAAGCACTCTAGGTCAGTACGCCAAGCAGACACCATTGACTCCTACTTTTCAATCTCTTTGCATTGATGTACTGTGCCTCCGAAACAAGCACACAAGATAACAGCGTTGTAACTAAGCTTTCAAGCTCTGGTTCTGAATCTGGTGGCCATGATTACACTCTTCGCGTCTCTGATGATACCGAGTCAATGGCTCAAGGTATTTACGGTGTTGGTATTGCCCCCATCAAACAAGCTGAAGGCGATCTGCTCGAGTGGATACCGATGAACAGCCGCACGTGCGCAGTCGTACTTCGAACCAATATTCGGGTTAGTAAGCAGCGTCTGAAGCAGGGTGCCTTTTCATCGCCTCAGTTTATACCCATAATGAATGCAGTTCAGAGGGTATCGAAGACGATTACTATGGACAACTTTCATCTCATCGTCTCATGGCGAAGAATACCGACAGCGCGATTGCTACTGGTGACTTAAATGCTCAAGTGGGACGTCTATCAGACTCCGAACAACACCTGGGAAGGCGACTCTGAGTTGATGCACGCCAAACAGACAATGGTGATCGGATTCTGCAATGTGTGTGCCGACCACAATCTATATAACAGCATCACTGCTTTCCAGCACAAACGTTCACACCGCATTACCTGGTGCCCACCGAATCCCTCCACGACTTGGACTCAAACTGACAGTAACATCAGTCTTCCGGCTTCAAGGAGGCGCCTATCTATTAACCATCTTACCTTACTTGAACTGGCAATCTGCAGGTCAAAAATATCCAGACGAACTAGCCCACCAATTATTAGTGATGAATGGGGTTGGTGAGCTGAACGCTAAGTGAAGTCGTCTCAAAATGGACCATGAAGTATGTCTTTGACGCATGTTGTGCATGCAACTTGAGAAGTCGTAACTGAGAATGGATCTCCGATGCATCCAACAGCTTGATCGTAGAACGGAAATAGGTTTCCAAGGACACTGAGTTTCAGCGTGTCCGTAACTCTCTAAAATGACGCATCGTAAGGAGTCCTCGGATCGACCGGGAACGTTGGTGGACCGCAAGGGCTCATGAGATGGAGAGAGCCAGTGCGATTTGGAACAGCCGAGTTCCGTTCCAGTTCATCTAGAACACGAGTAAAGAAAGCTGTCAGTAAGCGAGACAACAGCTCAGAAAAATCGGCAGCTGAACCATTCCAAGCGTCGACGGCAAGCCCGCTGGGCGGAACATTTTGACGAGGAGTTCAGCAGGCTTGCTTCGACACTGTCCATTGCCGAATCACCTGAGCACTCGTGGAAAGTAGATGTGACATTTCCAAGTTTGAAAGGGATTCGACATGAGCTTTCCGTGTTGAAAAGAAACAAGGCTCCTTGCCCATCTTGGCGGAAAGATGGTGGTGACCCTTTGTTGACTGGACCCGCTACTCTGTTTTACACGATTGGGAACTATAAAGAGGTTCCTTCAGACTGGCGAGTGTAGTGCTCATCGTCCAGAAGGGACAGCGAAAAGCAGCGATACATCAGCCTTATTACCATTGCCCAAAAGCTCACGAGTATCGATCGCTGACGACTTACTGGTTCCCGTGGTTTTATCGACCACATATTTACTCTTCTCCAGCTTTTGGAACACCGTCCACTATCGTTGCATTCCTAGACATACGTTGATTGACCTGGTTTATGGCGTTGCTCGCTAAAGAACGGGGTGCCAGAGAAATATACCGCCACCTTACGAGCACTTTACCTTCATACATCCGGCAGAGTGAGGGTGTATGGCAAGCTTTCTTTGCAATTCGCTGTTAATAGCGGTGTGCGACAGATCTGCCCTATGTGCCCATTTCTCTTTAACTTCGCAATCGAAGACGTTCTGTCGAATGCTCTAGAAGGTTTCCAACATTTTGACACAGAGCTTCTACCGGGTGAGCGCGCGACCGACTTAGATTATGCTGATGATACCGTCTTACTTGGTGACGATCCTCAGGGTATACAACTTATACTGGATCGTTTGGCGGTTGAAGCATCTAAGTATGGTATGAGCTTCGCCCCACCGAAGTCTAAAGTACTGCTCAATGATTGGGTTTCACCTGCTCCCGAGTGGTATGCACGTTTGCTTTGCAACCATAAGGTCACCGGTTCGAATCCGCGTAGGGGTGGGCGTCCTCACGGTATACACAGCCCGCACGCGACTGGTGGTGGTCGCGCGGCAGCGAAGCACCGTTACAGCGTACAGCTGACACATTATTATTATTATTATTATTATTATTATTATTATTATTATTCTCCCGTGCTCACTCTCGAAGGTGCACAGCTTGAACACGTGGATAGTTTGGCTACCTTGGGAGCTGTGTTTCTGCTGACGACATTATCAGCAAAGAAGTTTCTCTTCGCATGGCCAAAGCCGGATCAGCATTTGCCAATCCAACGTATTTAAAGCGTCGTCACGACGTCTCATTTTCGCTACAGGGCCGCGTTTAAAGCGCATCTGTTCGCTCAGTGTTGCATGGCAGCGAGTCCTGGCCGATTCGCATGGAAGACATGCGTCGTCTTTCTGCCTTCGATAACGGTTGGCACAGCCTATAACGATGAGACTGTCCTCACTGTGTCACCCACGGCCTGACGACCATGAGCACACAGTTTACACTGGGTGCGAATGACACAGATATTTGGACGCACTTACGGAGTGGTCACGCTCACCAGCTCGACGATATCATCATTCAAAATCAAGTTAAAGTTGCACAGAAACGACAGGAAATTCCCATGCGAGTTCCTTCTTTAATGCGTCGTTGAACCAGGATAGAGTTCGCGGGATCGATTGGAAACCGAGAACCAAATCAATACGCACGAATCTCATCATAGTCAACCAATCAATGCCTACGCAGCTTGCACTAACAGTCCCCGCTGTACCAGCCACGTGAATAAGAATAAAAGTTAAGAAAAGGGAATCA